TCAAACAGTACAGGTGCTATATCACAGAATTCAACGTTGATTCATGGTTCTGAAGACAAAGACATGTTGCAACCTTTGATTCATCTGTTTGCATTTTGAGGAAAGGCAAGCCCATAGTGAGAACGAGATGGTTGTGCATGAAAACCTTGCAGCACCACGTCTATCTCAAAAATTGGGCATAAGTCACTGCAGAGAAAATGCATCCAAGTCTGTGGGAGATATAGCTAGTTCAGGTTCGAAGTCTGTTAGGGACTTGGCTTTCAACAATGATATAGAAGGCATTGCTGAGCTTGTTGGGTGCTATTTACACCCAATGCCAATTTGTTCGGTATTGCTGAACATTACAGAGAATGAAATCTACATTTGTGCTTCGTGTGGCCTTTTGATCAATAAAAAGAGAACCCTGTTTGTTTACAAAATAGTTGTTAAAGAACCATGGGAAGGAAGCCCTTCTTTTCTTGGTCATACATCAGTATTGTTGCCATCTTCCCAAGAAAACTTTGACAGAGAAGTAAGTTGTTACAAACTGCATTTCTGCGATTTCTGTTATAGTTGATATATGCATGCACATATTATGTGTTTACTTCTGACGTCTTTCCTACTCTTCATTAGATTTTAGAGGAAAAATCAGGTTTGCAGTTCAGTCCAGATGGCCAGCATCTAATTTTACTTGACAGCATAAAAACTCCTAACTGCAGGTTGATTCTTCTCTATCAAATATTAGTTATATCAATGAAACCCAGTAATCTTAGTGTTAATGTGCAGTGCATTTCATTGCAGGCAAGGGATAATTGATTGTTCGTGCTCTACTTGTATGTCAGACTGCTTTCTGGGCAATGCAGTGAAGATTGTGCAAGTAAAACATGGGCATGTTTCTGTTGTGACAAAACTGAAAACAGTTGCATGTGTCCGGTGTATATTGGTTTGCAATCCTAGCCATCTCATTGCTGGTGGAGACAACGGAAGGCTGCATCTATGGGTCATGAATTCAACATGGAGGTGATGTATTTTGCAAATACATACCCACTAGATTTACATTCTGTTCTCTGAGTAATCACCATGGATCTGTCTCTTTGTTTTATACCTT